TCTGCTGGAGCCCATCCCCACGGGGCAGGCGGTGGGCGGCGAAGCCGAGCCGTTGGCTGAACGGAGGGTTCGAACGGGCGAGGTTGAGGAGCTGCGAGGTTGAGTATCGAAAAAAAAAATGCAGAGGAGCAGATGTTAAGTCCGGCTTGCCCATACTTGCCCTTCAAATTACATGATTTGGAGTATGCAGGCTGGTTTATATAGCCTTGGCAAAAGACGTTTTCCTTCGACCAGTCGGATCAAGACTCATCTCTTTTCAACCAACATCTCACCTCTTCCGCATGGCCTCTCACCACGTCCCACCGCGAAACGACGAATCAGTGACGGCCGGAGCAGGCAGGAGCCGGCAACGAAAGGGGCGACTGCCCCGTTGAACGGGACGTGCCACTCGCCAGGTGCCCTTGATGACCTCCACCTTGCCCTGGAGCTTGCGAGCGCATCGAACCTCTGGAGCCCCTCGAACGACCGTCCAGGGAGCTAGGTCGAAGGGATTCGGGTGTCCCTGAAGCACCGAAGTCCGAACGCACCGGTGTTGACGACCTTTCAAGGTGCATACATAGCTGTTTCATATATTGCATTTAAGTTTAGCTGCTAAAACGTAGTGAACTTGGCTAGATGTCCTTTGTGAAGTCAACGGTTTCTTTGATGTGGGACAAGTACTCGTATTCACTCCTATTTCTTCCCAGGTGCCTTGCACAATTTTCAGGAAACGCCCGGTTTCACATTAAATGTACGTGTTTTTTTTGGGGTGGCCGAGGATTCAATAGGCATGCTGGAACATGTTTGTTGGAGAAGAATCAGGGTGAAGATTAGAATTAGATGGAGATCTGGTCCGCGGAAGTCACCGCCATACCATACTGATGTTGCTTCTTGGTCATCCTTTTACCTATCGCAGTTGGGTGGATGTGCTTGGTCGACACATCGCAGGTCAAAACACTAAAACCCTGGTTGACCCGACCCTCTAAGATCCGAAAGGACTGCTAGGCAGCGAGTATCAGCTATAGTCAAGCATAGTGAACTGGCATGTTTGGTGTTGCCCTGATGCTGTTGTTGCATTGCATTTCTTTATAACACATGCCAGTTTTAAGGCCAAACAGATGGCGGCCACTTTGTCTTCCATCCGCGGCGAGACGGACTTCGGCCGTAGCGCGACCTCCCAGCCGGCGCGACATCCCATCCGGCCGTTGAGCCGTCCTTGTTCGGTCCCCAAATCACATGAAGGTTGGCTGAGAACCGCAAAGAGTCATGGTGTTTATATGTGTTTATGAGTTAATTTGTATACTCCTATAGATAAAACAATAGAACCTAACCATGCGTGAGATAGAAGCTTGAACACCCTGCACTGAACAAGAGCCGCAGAGCCATCAATCAAAGCATTGAAACACAGAGTAGGCCCCTATTCACTTGAGAAGTAGGCCCCCTTTCACCCCAACGTCGACGAGTCGATTTCACCCCACGAGATTCGATCAAACAAGGCCTCCGAGCTCGACGACCGTCCAAGTTCAGCTTGAAACTCGTAGGAGAAAACCGCCAAGAAAAAACCACACGCCAAAACACCTGCAGAGACCGTGGGGCCACCCAAACACCCCCCTGGCCACCGAAAAAGGCCACGACGAACCCAAACGAAAGCACACCGGTCGACCCCCGACCGACCCGGTGACGTCCGACGCCTCAGGCGATCGTGTCCCGACCATTCGAGCGCCGGCCTATTCGAATCAGCTGGCAGGCGACGAAGCGTGGAAGGAGTTTGGAGAATTGGGAAGACCGTCTTCAGAAGATCCTCTTCTGAAGCTTTCCATATTGGAAGTTCCCATGCAGTTGAATTCCTGCACCAAAAAACGTCAAGAAGTTCGCATAAAAGAAGAGAGTACCCCTCTCACTTGACGTGGCAACATCAACTTCTAATTCGGTCCCTGTTGTGGAGGACAGGGTCTTAGGAATTCCTTGGCATGTTCTGGAACTGAGAAGTGCTTTGGCGGAAAGAAACCTAATTAGCTTGCATATGAATGTCAAGACACCTACAGTATAGCTTGCATATGAACATAATACACCATACTGACCATACTCACAAAATGGACTCAGTACACCCTCGTGTTCTTTGCCTCTCGAGGTTATGCAAGTTTGGCTACTTAGCTGTGACTTGTTCTTGTAGCTAAGCCAAACTTGCATGACCTTACAAGAAGACTTCTGACAGTTAAGTTCAGCAGCTTTCGCTGCTGCCCTGCGAGTCGCAATCGTGTTTGTCACGCGCTTTTTTTTGCACCGCACACCCCATAGGGTGCACATTCGTCCTTTCTCCTGGGAGTCGTACCTTATGATGTGTTTTTACTCCTTTTTTACCACAGAAAAGATCTTCTGACACCAGAATCAATTGTGAAAAATACAATCACATGGTCGATTCCTCGAGGATATACAGCAAGCCTTCCATCCATCCTTGCATATATCCATCCAAAGATGCATCCATCGAATCGACCAGGTTTTGAGCTGTGAAACCGTGCCCAAAACTGCCAACCTCTTCAGGCTGGGGGTCCACCAGCATGCCCTCCCTCCGCGGGGGCCCCTTGCTTTGACGGCCCTGATGATGGCTGGTTGTCTGGAGAACAGAAGGGGCGGACATCGTCAAACAAATCTCAGAATTCTTTCAAGAGTTCAGGTTTTACCATGTTTTGACCACACCCATCCATGCATTGAATCTCAGTACCAGAAAATGGTAGATCTTTCATGATCTTTCTCATTGTTCCACTTAGCACTGGGCCATGGTGGGTCTACTCGATTGCGGTCACAGCCGGATTGTCCAAACATTGGCGAGGACTCCCCACTTTTGCAGACAGGCCCATGTGTTGATGTCCGGCACGTGTGTTCTAGTGAAGAACAGATCGTCCCCACCCCATGCCATGGTTAAGCAACATAGTGTTTCCAACAAGTGCTCGATGTGTGAATCATTGAACTGGTATGAACATGTTGGAAAGACCATCCTCCATCCATCCTCGCATCTCCATATCGCCATGTTCACATCATAGATAGACCAGGCATAGACCAGGCCGCTGACTTCTATGCCATGGCCGCTCGCTCCCGCTCGGGCGCTCCCGCTGCGACGCTCCCAGGCCCGGCGCAGTTCCATCGGGCGCCGTCCTTCGCACGGATTCTGAACACCTAACCCCGCGCTGGGCGCCGCTGACCGGACCGGCCCGACGCCGCTGCGGTCCGGTGGGGGCGCTGGGGCGCGGGCGTTCCGGGAAGCAGAAGCAGAAAAGACATGGGTTTGGGGGGCCTAATAGTGATCCAAATAGATAGGATTGCACGGTTTCCAATACATCTTGAGTGGGATGTACTTTTCTATCTATTTGGAGGTCTGTATATGTCTGTATGCTGCTGTCCATTGCTGTCCAGTTTTTTCTTCCATGCTTTGCCCAGAATTGCTGGATCTTGGAGGGTAGGGCGTAGACTGTAGCCCTTGTTCTATTCCAGCGAAATTGTTATGTTGACCGTTGGGACTTGGGACCCTCACTTTGTAACAGACATCAAGAGCATCAAGTGCCAATGCTATGATTCCAAGCAATGGAACTCCTTGATCACAATGACAATAGCTGTGACCTAGCGGTGGCTATGCTGAAGGCTGACCAAGTCATCTTCAGGTTTCACGATTACATCTCGTCTCACGGCCAAAAAGCTCTGATGAAGGGCACAAGGAAGCACATGGGCACAGGGGAAAGAAGAGGGTTCCGCATGGTTCCACTGTCAAAGGCAGAAGTCCTGGAGCACTGCAATTGAACATTTTGCACGTCTGCCCGGAATGGCTACCCTCCACCTATTCATTTGGTCAGGTTGAACTGTTGAACCCACTGGAATACCAACAGGCTTCCAGACATGCGACTCGTCATATCATTCCCGCAAAATAAAAGTATCCCGGCACGCGCCGTCCTAATGTTTCTCACGTTGGTGTGCCATCCCGTTTACACATTATTTCATTTCCACTTTCCGTTCATGTTCTTTCACCCCTCTCCTCAATGGGTTAGTCTTGAGATGTGCTGAGAATCCCTAGGAACCGCGCATCATTGGGGTGTGTGGGGTGATATCATTGGCCAACAAAAGCAGTGCCCGATCAAGACCAATAGTGTGTTGTTCATTTGACCTATATTTGAGCCCAAGCTGCTTGAGCCGTGAAAGACACATAGACTATAACCATCTACATCCTGTGGGTTTCTGGCTCGAACATTTTTTAAGCCACAGCTATGCCATCCCACTTTTGCCCGGTTTATACCCCTAGATACACATAGATACACCAAGAACTGGTTGCTTCCCCAGAAATGCTCCAAATCCTCCTCACACCAGCATTTTGCGCCTCTATAGGTAAGAGATGAGATGACATCAGTTTAAATCCTCGACTTGGAAACCACCCCGTCATACCTCTCGGCTGTACCGGTCGACGACTCGCTCCCGCGCGCGCTCCGTCGTGACCCGCCGCGTGGTCACTCGGTCCCGGTCACCTCGGTCGCCCGTCGGGCTCGAGCCGAGACGTCTCGGGATGAAGGGCCGCGCGGCCGCGGCGGTCGACCGAAGGCGCGGAGGTGGACCGAAGTAGGGACGAGAAGAGACAGGTGGTGCTGGGACGAGGTCTAGGAATTCGAAAGAATGGTGTTCTTTTGGGGAGGGCATATTTAGAAGGTTCCATGATGAGAACTGGGAATCCTCTTGGGCTAAGATGTGAAAGGGGTTCTTGGGTATAGTCAATATTATGAGGGGTTGCCCGCCCCAAATAGTTTTGGGATTTGAGCTAAGCAGCTGAGAGTTGTGAAGGAACACACTGTTCCGATGCATTCCTTATGACAGGTGAACTGCCCACTTTTAGATTGTACATTCAGCGTTGTGGATTTGGATGTTGCTTGGAGGTGTACCATCTCCCTCCTCTCCTCTCCCCTCTCCCCTCCCCTCCCACTCCCTTCCTTTGCCAAGTCCCAATGAACCTGAGACCAGACCTCTGAGTGCCTTTTCGTCACCAGGCACCCATGTGGCGCCGGAAGACCACCGCCTCCCCGCCACTCGGACCGGTTCCACGTGAGCTTCGAACGGGAAGTTTGCCTTATCATGGGCCGTTCCACGCATGCTGTGCAGGTGACATGACATTTGTTTTTTTTAAATCTTCTGAAGATGGCCGATGCTGGGTTGGCAAGTTCTCCCGCTCACAGGTGGTTTAGTCTGTAAATGTTGCTCAGTCTCCATCGATTTGAGTGTTTCGATAGAAGTATATATATATAGAGAGATTTTGTGTGTGTGTTGTTGTGCTCTGGCATTTGAATAATTATCAAGCATCATCAAGCCAAAATGAAGAGAGGAATCGATTTCAAGAGAAGACAGTTTGCGGATGATGGTGAATGCTTTCCCTTTCTATTGCTTCAATGTATTGCAGTATATTGCAGTGTCTCCCCATTCACCTTCTTGGAAAACTGGATTCCGGTGAAATCAACTTGGAGACCTGCATGTTTTAAGGTGGTTCTGGAGACCTTATGCTAAGCTAATAGTCGTTTGCAACCGCCCTAGACGTGTGCCTTTGCAATGGCTGGTTTTGGAGACCTTATGCAAGCGAAAGACTGAGGCGCAAGAAGAGCTCCAGCTTCAGCAAGGACCGACGCGCCGACGTCGATCGGGTCCGGAAGGACGCGTGTGCTGCACTCGTCGTTGACTCGGCAAGTCTTCCGAATGGTCCCATCCTTTGGCCCCCCAGAAAAGGAATCTACATGAATCTACGGCTTGCCGTAAGTTCATGTGGTCATATATTCTTTGTCCAATCCTTTTACCATCCGTGTATACCATCCTTCTCCCCTCCGAACTCCGAAGCAAGAACCGACGAATGGAGAGGACCCGGCGGCGCGGTATGGCTCGGTGTACTCCACCGTGTCAGCCATGGAGGACTTGGGCGGGCGGAAAGGGCTATTTCTGGGTCTTAGGAGGTGAATGTATATATCTTTTAAGCCTGGTGAGAGGGAGATGAAGGAGTTGTTGATGAAGAAAACCAAGGAATGCTCCGAATTCATGCAATTACGCGGGTTGTTGCCCAATTTTTGGTCCTTAGTGGTGGAAAAGGTGGCCCAACAAAAGCACCACTGGAGTTCCACTTCACAGCAAGCAGTTAGGTGTCCGCTTGATGTTGAAACTGCACTGACATGCAGGGACCCCAGGGATACCAAGTATGATATTGTATGAGTATACTCACCGCAGGTGAGTTGGGAGTTACGCCGCAGGTGAGATGGGCAGTGTATTGCTATTTAACCCCGCAGGCCCGCAGGATACAATATGCAGATAATTGCAGATATTTCAACACATTCATAATCCAAGTCTGTGATTCTTGGTTCCCTGTGCGATTTTTTCCAATGACGGACGCTCGGTGATTGCGAGCCAGGAGTGGCAGAAGCAGATGAAAGAGCTTGAGAACCAGATCAAGTCTTACCGGCACTGTCTTGAGGTTGATTGACACAGGAAGGGTGGCGGAGCCAAGGGATACATTTGGAAAAGCACCCACTACTAGAAGACTGTTTGATTTTGGACATCGCATCCCAACTGTGTGCCATGGCAAGATTAAGATGACATCCATTACACAGAATCAAACACAGTAATTAAGTAAGACCTTTTAAGAGCTGGTGTTGTTTTTTATTGTTATTTTTTCGCCTTCAGACCGGACCGATGACATCGACGTTGCTGAGCAATACGTGATTTCACACGGTTGGATGAAGAGTTTGTTGTTTTAAATGAAACACCCTGTATGCCCCGCAAACAATTGATCTGAAGTCTGGCAAACACCACACTCGCAGACCACTAGCAACCTCTAACTTCTTGGTGGCATGTAATCAAACACAATCATGTGCATCGTGGTGTCAAGACTGAAGCCACCTCAAAACAAAATCACCGAACCCACCGCACAATGGCTGATTGTGCCGCACGCTTGCACAGAATGCACTGCACCTGCAGCACGCTTTCGGCCGTGTGCACCGCACGCACGACACGATGCTGAGCGGCAGAACCTGCCAGGGATATGTCAGAGCGACATGGCCCGTTGCATGCAAAGACCTTGACTCTCATGAACCAGCTGGCCCAGGCATCGGTTTTTTCAGGGGAGACACGCTGGGATTTTCAACCAAACGCTGATTTGAGTGAGTGATGAGTTGGAGTCGTTTAAAGATCTTTGCCTCAAAAACTGTGAGGGCTCGGTTCATGTTGATTTTGTCACTACCAGGTGCCAGGTTATGGCTTGTCTTGGTGTTTCAGACACACCCAGACCCTTTTCGGCCCTAGCCTTCACTCATCTAGTGATCCTAGGGATCCTACCCCTTCCTTGGACGCATCCGCCCAAAAAAGCCACGTCGACCTCGCGACCCCCGTGCCATCGACCCGTGATCGAGTCGTGTGTGCACGAGTCGCGTGCGCACCTCTGGCTCGAGGTGCACCGAGAAGCCAACACGTGGGAGGAGGCCATTCAAGTCTACCACGAGGCCGTTCCCGCTGGATCTCGGATCGTTTGCATCTCGACGTCGCCGTTCAACGGAGAAGCGGATCGACAGAGATCGGAACGGGACAAACATGGAATAGCGCACTGGGCCCGGTGGCTTTGGAACGCGCCCGTTCTGGCAGTTTCTACCTAAGATGGATATAGATGGATCGAATTGTGAGGCATAGAAGAGTGAACCTAAACCTATGGACCTTCACCAGTATCCTTTGCTACTTTCAGGGTCATTGGACTGCAAGATTGAGGCTCTACTCGTGGATGTTGAGCCTTCAATCACACCAATCCAATCCCGCTTGGGTTGTCCTCAAGATGAAATGGAACTTCACCACAGCCATTTGCCTCCATCCTCGGCAAACTTGGATCCTGTCGAAAGCTCCAGGTCCATGACGGCTGCAAAAAGGCGCTGGGCGAGGCGCATCCGTACACGTGCGGGAGCACAGCTGGGCGGTACTCCCTCGCTTCGTAGTGGTCGGCCGTTTTCTTTTGCGCGCAGACGTGGCAGACGTGCGCAGGAGGATGGGACGAATCTCTGGTGGCTTGGGCTTGGTGTGACTACTCATCTAGGACCTGTACTATTATGTACAAAATATAGTAGGTATACCTGGAACCCACTTGACCTTTGTTTTGATAGGAAAAGACATGAAAAGACCATATTTTGGGTGGTTGGTGGTCCAAAATAGAGATTTTTCCGCTCAAAACTCAACGTCCTCCCTCCAACACGGAAGTGGAAGACACAGACGACCCCTGAGAAGACGTGTGCAAGTAGTTGGACCACGACCCCCGGTAGGCCATGTGTTTTTCTTGCTATGTTTTCTTATTCGATGCTTTTTTGCATCCCAGCTCCAGGTCTTCGTTGCATTGCACAACAATAAAACATATCTCAGACTGCAAGATGTCTTGAAGGAAGCGATGGCCAGCGAAGAATGCGCTCAGACATGGTTGCCGCGGAATGGCTTTGCTTGGAAGCCCAAGATGTGTGATTCTTGCAACGGCAAGGATTTCTACAACTGTCTGCATGAGCAGGAGGGCAGGTCTGCTCACTGGCGCTGCACGAAGCGTGAACAGCGGACGTTGTTCCTCACGCTCTCTTTCTTCTGTGGCTTTCGCTGCAGTTGCATGCATCTCCTCGACTTGTTCAGAGCCTACGTCAAGGACGATTTTGCGGAATCGCCATGAATCGCCTCAAGTGGCCAGCTTGGTGCAAGCCACGCGTTCCTCCAAGAAGCAGGCAATGCACTTCATCCAAGTTGTACGTGACATTGAATGTCGTGCAGGTGAGTGACTGTCAAACACCATGACCTTGCGCGGCAATGTTGAGTGCGACAGGACTTCGCTGGGAAAGTTCAGCGTGGGCCAGGGCTGTACAAGATTTCAAAAAGAGATCTCCGAGATTCAGCAGGAGGAGATTCGAGCCGGCCGAGCCAAACCGAAGTCCTTCTGCGTCCACATCGAGTGTCTGGGCGCTTTCCAACAAGATGGTCCAGCATTGCTGCATCTCAGCTCTCCCCGCGTGCCTCGTCTTGCATTGCATTCCGAAACCCACATCCCTCACATGATTTTTCGTAGTGCCATGCTCCCCTTCTGGTTACTCATGATGTTCTCCAAAATGAGGTCACTGTATTGGTGAGCAGGCCTCCGACTGACAGCTTGGCTGAGGTGCGCGAGAGTCGTTTGCTATTAGAACAGGTTGCCAGGGAGCATCGGTCAGTCTCTAAGATCTTTGCTGATGGAAACAAGAGTTGGGAATCTCACGCAAAATTTTTGAAAATCCCCCATGCAAAGGTTTGTCATCAAAACAAAGAGTGGACTAGGAAGATTCCCAAAAGTAGAAACGAGAAGATTTCGAATGTAGATGGAACGCAGATTGCCGATCTTGGATGGCTGAGCCTGAAGCGACTTATTCCGGCATCCTTTCCTAGGAGAATTGGCCATGGTCATGAAATCAAAGAACACCCAGAGCTCCGTAAATTAGTCATGGTCATGCAGTACATGTGGCGAAGATCTCTTGGACCATGTGCGCCAACACTGCTGCTGAACGAGCTGTGCAAAGTCGCTAAGCAGAGCCGGTGAGTGCATAAAAAAGTAGATTTGTGATTCCGCAAAACGTGGGATTTGCAGTTGCATCTTTGAAAAAGATGGTGGCGCTACACCGCCGTGCGCGTGTTCAATTAGACGGTCCTCAGGAAACACCACGGCCATCTAAGGGTCGGGCACCAAGTAGTTACTTGAGTAACTTGCTTACAGAAAGTGGTTTGTCCATCACCACCCCCTTAGGCATTGAAAACAGGGGGGACCTTTCTATTGTAATTTCCTTTTTCGGGGGGGTGTATAAATGTTGGTCCAGTTTCAGGCATTTTGCGGGGGGGGGGGGACGGGGGGTGGACCTTGCTCACGCAGCCAGCAAAATCAAGCAAAGGCATAGAAGGTTGCTTCATTTTGTTTCTGTGAAAGCTTCAAAGTTACATTTTGACCCCCTCCCCCCAAAAAGAACATGCGCGGACTGGAGATCCCTAGCAGATCACTGGGGAAATCTGAGGAAACACAGACAGAAGAGACGCAGAAAAAACCATTGGGGGGGGGACGTGAAAAAGTGCAACTTACATTTATTGAGGTCCAGGTCCCCCCCTGTTTTTTAAATAGAATAATGTAACTTAGAGAGGTTGGACGTCTTCTTTCAGAAGGCCAGAGCAGCAAAAAAAACATTTTTTCTTGTTTTTGATAAAACATAAATGTAACATGCAGAAGGCAGGCTTGAAAATGCATGTCCACCATAGCATTTTCAACCAACCGGGTGAACCTGTCAGCAACTGTGCACCCGACAGCAATGATTGAGGGCACCGGCAAATCTAGAGAAACAACATCTAGAAAGAAGATAAGCCTTAAGAAGGCCATACCTACTTGAGAGAGAAAATGTAAGCTAAGGACCTGGGATGAATCAACAGGGGAGAGCACCTGCAAATCTATAGAAACAACAGCTAGAACAAATATAAACCTTAAGAAGGACATACTTAAGAGAACATGTAAGCTGGGAACCTGGGAGAAACCAAAATTGGGGAGAACACCAGCAAATCTAGAGAAACACCAGCTACAACTAGAAAAAAGATAAGTCTTAAGAAGGACATACCTACTAAAACAACAAATAACCTGAGAACCTTGGATGAGACAAAATTGGGGAGGGCACCAGCAAATCTAGAGAAACAACAGCTAGAAAGAAGATAAACCTTAAGAAGGACATACCAAAAAGAAAATGTAAGTTGGGAACCTGGGAGAAACCAAAATTGGGGAGAGCACCAGAAAACCTAGAGAAACCGCAGCTACAGCTAGGCTGCTAGAAAGAAGATAAGCCTTCAGAAGGACATTCCTACTTTACAGAAAATGTAAGCTGAGAACCAGGGATAAGCAACAAATGTGAAAGGCGCCAGCAAATCTAGAGAAACAACAGCTAGAAAGAAGATAAGCCTTAAGAAGGACATACCTGAAAAGGAACTGTAATTAAGCTGGGAACCAGGGACAAACCACAACTGTGGGAGAGCGCCAGCAAAAGCTTACGAAATCAGTTCCGTCCGCCGTCCGCCAAAGCTTGCTAACGTGTTTTTGCTCAGAATGCAGGGCGTGAAAACCAAAACCCAAGCCGCGAAAGTGTTGCGAAAGGAACTTGCGGAAGAAGAGCCCATTGGAACAACTTCCCGATAGGTTTTGAGCAATGTTCATATGACCTCACATGTTTGTGCAATCTGTGCGTGCCATACGTCCCATTGCAACTTACATGTTTGTTTAGGCCATTTCAGGCATGTTGGCACCTGGAAAATGTAATATTACATGTTCTACGTCTTGCCACTAATGTTAGATTACATTTTCCAGGTACCAACCTGTGCAAAATGTAAGTTACAAAGAAAATAAAGATCCCCCCCCCATCATGGGGGGTGGTGATGTTTGTCCTGGACAAAGGGCAGGTAGAATATAACCAGCCATAGAGTCTCCTCTTCAAATCCACTCGTCTATGTTCGCAACTTCTCATCTACCCGGCTGGGTTTCAAGGATTGTTCAACCTCCAAGTGGGGAAGCGGGCTTCAAGTGTTCGTGCTGGAATCATTCACTCTGACCTGTGAATCTCAGTAGCCAGAGATTGATGCGCTCCGCATAGGAACAACTTTGGGTGATTTGAATGGTTCACTTGACCTATGTAATCCATGTTAATCCTGACAGGACCCAACAAGAGCCTCCAAGAAAGCACATCAGAAGACTAAGACCACAGCACCATTTCAATCTATTTCAATCATAGTCATGTCATACGTTACGACTACAACCGTAGTGCAAGTAGAACTGCAAAAGCTCCGCAACGATCAAACCTCCCTTGATTTATGTTGGGTGAACAAGGAAACCGTTGACACACAGAAGACTCGCCAAGACCTACCACCGTGCAGGACCTCGGAACTCCTGCTCGGCCGCACGACATCCAAAAACCGCTACTCCGGCAGACTCCGTCTCCATGATATACCTGGTTTTGCGGATCAGGTGATGTTAATTTTCCCGGTTAAATTTTCTTCTGGGGAATATGTTTTACTTCAATTCAGGTTCCTGGACAGCAAAATCCAAGTTCTACTGTTGTCGGACAGTCTGAGGCTTGCCAGTTTGTCCAACCTGGGCAACTGTCTCTTCGAGATGGATCGCCTGGAAGAGGCCAATCGCCCAACGATCCATCGATCGAAAACAAAAACGAGTCACTCCTCGTCCGACTCCGTTGAATGGACTTCGATCGACTCGTGCCGAGTCGAACGGGACGATTGGGTGCGAAAACGATCGAAAGCGACTTGGTCGAAGGAATTCCGGAAAAACCGGTGATGTTTCAGGCTCTCCAAGGGGTTGGCAGTTTCGGTGGGGGACGAAGCTGCTGTTTGGCACTGGTCTGTTGGAGGAAGACCGAACCGGCGAACCCGCCGAACCGCCGAAGCGCCTTTTTCGGTCTGGCGCGTAAAAGGAGGACTGTCTCAGCACTAAGCAGGCCCATTCGTGCCGCCCATCCGTGCCGCCCTGTGCTGACTTGAGGCGAAGCCGTTGCTGGAAGAGACACTTCAGAAGCAATCACATCTCAGAGGTGAGAAGCTTCTTGGCAGCAAGTCTGGCAGCAGGGGTTTGCTGAAGCATGGCAAACCAATGAGTTCTGTGGGCTAGATGAGTTCCGTTGAGCCGGATATTGATAAGTGGAGTCTAATTTCCATTTACACATGCTTTGGAACTCTTATCTTCAATTCAAAACACATTAACAGATATATGTCTTTTTCACTCTGTGTGCGAGACCGTTTGCACAAAAGGCTCGACCGGTGCGGTCTGCACCAGCGAGGTCCACAAAAAAGGGGAAGCTCGAAGCCGCGGAAAGGGATTGAACCTCAACTGGTTCCATTCTGTTTGGGTGCTTCGATTAGTGAGATTTTGCAGGGCAGGTTCTTTGAGCCTCGACTTTCCCGCACGAAATGGTGAGGGATTGCAGCCGAAGCGGAAGAACAGGGAAGGACGGACCGTTTGAGTGGGGGGCGCAGTCTAAGACCCGCTTGGATGTGTTTGGGGGGGGAATTCCAAAGGAATTCCAAGCGCTTGGTGGATGGATGTGGAAACCAAGCCGCAAGCCTTTGTTTTTTTGGAAGACAGGTGCCTTGAAGCGTTGTTTTTTGAAGAAGGGAGCGGCTAGACTTGACTGACTTGATTTCTGCATCGAAGTTTGACCTTTGCAACTCAGAATCCCAATCAATCAGTCAACCAGCCGCCTCACCCGGTGCTCTAGAACCCACGTAGAAGCTTCCATGTTCAGCTCAGCATCCGGGAACCATCGGCTTCACCTCTTGAAAAGGAAAGAAACCACGGAAGAAGAGATGGATGGAACTTGTGCACTTCTCTCCTCTTCATCCTTTCATGCCTTCCCGGTCGTCCGGTCGGCATGAGCTGGATATCAAAGTCGCCCACCAGACCTGGCTGCCTGGCCGTGGGTCATGGCGTTGCCCCGAACTCATGAGGGTAGGTTGACCTCCCAGGTAGTCTTATGCTGTTCCTTCTTGGTCAAGACTACCAGGGTGTCCCCGTTAGTCTGGTGACCAGAAGGGCCTCCCATGTGAAAAGTCCAACATTGCCTCCCCTTCTGCGGGCCTAGGCACTTGGAGACGCTGCAAACAGCACACAACTTAGCCTTGTTGCTGGAAGAGCAGGGCAACTTGGAGCAGGCGTGCAACTGGGGAGGGTCTTCTGCCCATGCGCTTTTCAAGCGTGCTTGGGGCTGTTGGAGCCTGATGCTGACAAAAAAACAGTGCCTCAGTAAGTCCGCGGTTGCTGCTGCTACAGGGTCAACCATTCAACCTGGTGAGCGTTTTGCATGGCTTGGTATTTACACCCTTGTGTAACACCGTGAAGACATGCAAGCTTGGATGTTCAAATTTTTTGAAGGTCAGCTGAGGTCAGCCGTTCAAGTTGGAGGTCGCTCCTTCTCGGCTAAGAAGTTGGTGTGATTGGCACAGTGCACAGCGCCGAACTCATTGGAGCAAAAGTACATCCAGCTAAGTACGCCACGTCCGACACCAGATTTGTGTAGACCGAAATCCTGTGTACTGATGGACCAACAGTGACCGTTCCGATCCGAAGTGGAAACCCCAAAAGCTCTGAAGAGGCCCTTCATGTACATCTTCCAATGAACTCTTCAGGCTTTCTAAGTCTTTTCTCAAAGGCCCAAGCTCTTTGTCCCCAGGTCTGGATCATTCTGGATCCACTCCCTTCAAGAGGAACACTAATTGAAGACCCTATTCGCCTATTCGCTCCAGCCTCCAAGAGGAAGGGACCAGATGTCTGGCCAAGAAGCCTTTAGGCCCCTCAATCACTCAAACCCCCTACTTGAGTGCCTTTTCGTGCCCCCGTAGCCACGCTTGGATTGCCACTTGGTAGCCAGACTCTTGAAAGTTGAACCGACTGCAGTCCCTGCAGTCCCGTCTTTGCACGAAAGAAGAGTGTGAAAACTCCCCTCTAAGACCATTTGCACCAGGGCCCGAATCGAATCAGGTCGATGGGCTGGTCTGACTCGCGGTCGGTCTGACATGCGGAGACCCAGTACAAGGCACATGTAGCTTCCTTCTTGGGGGATAGACTTGATGGATAAGGTTTGCCTTGGCGGAAAAAGCTCAATTTCATGTTGCGTTCCTTTTGAAGAAGGTACCATGGCTTTCGGGAACTTCCAAAGGGCAAGCGTTGAATGTCTTTGGTACCTGGATGATGATGCACAAACCGGCACTAATCCACCAATCCATTGGCGGCATTGGCGCATGCCACCTGTTTGGCTTGGAGGCTTTGATGATAGATCATGGGGACTCAAGAGAAGATGGGCCGAAGCGAAACACCCACCTTTTAGGATTCTGTGTTAGTAGTTCAACCTGCTGGGACATGCAGCCAGTGCGGGTCCTAGGTGCCACAACCACCAGAGCTACGCAGAGCCTTTTCCCGAGTTTACCAGCACAATGTTGCTCAGGTTCCCAAGCTTTGATTCACCACGCTTCACAAGGCTTCAACAGAGAAGAATCATCATGAATCACCACAGTCTATTCTCGAAGTCCTGACTCTGGGGTTCTACACCTAAAACATCGCCCTTTGCGCTGTCTTGCTTGGGTAGACCGGGCGTCGGCATGGCGAAGCACCCGCACCATCGCCCGCTGCCGCTGGGCCTTGGCCCGACGCCCGCCTTGGTGATGGCGCCCATGGTCAAGCAGAGCGATCGTGCCTTTCGCGCGTTGGTGCGTCGCTTGGAGCAGAAATGTGGGGAGGTCAGGAATAAGTGCTCTTCCCTCTAGGCGTTGATCATAACCGAACTGAACTGACCAGGTGTTTGGACCCTGCACCTGCAGGTGTTTGGACTTTGGACCCTCAAAACAGAGGTCAAACGATGTCAAACGGGTTCCATAGTTTTTTGGTTGTTGCCATCATTGCAGATAAAGTTCATCGGATAACTAGGAGGTAATCCTGGACGTGCTACTGCTAGTTGATGCTGGTTGTATGGAAGATGTCATTTGGGGTGGGTGGTCAGAGGATGTCAGAGGTGTCTACTGGCAAAAGAGTTTCTTATAATTGTCCCCAGATCATGGGTGGTATTTGTAAGCCAGGACATTTGGAGTGGGCATCCGCAAGGGCGACATGCCGGTGGGCGGTTGGGATACGTGATCCCCGACCATGTCCCCACAAGGTGAGGATGGAAACCTATCAGACCTCAGGTGATGACAGTTCACCGGCCGTTGCATAAGCCGTTTGAGCAAGGTGCTCATGGCTGCACGCTTTGCTACACCGAAATGCTCATGGCAGATGAGTTTGGAACAGACGCCATGTATCGTCGAAAGGCTTTGGGGGATGCTTGGTCAGGATAGTGGCTGGAGGGTGCTACCATGGGGCCAGGACTGGCCGTATCTCTTCATGCAGGTCTTCAGTGTAACAACATCAATCCATTATTAGTATATAATATATATTATATATAGAGGAATAACCAATAATGATAAGTGACAAATTTGTCTTGAAACGCATCTACGATCCCTTCTCGCGTGGTTCATGAAGCTCCTGATACCATTGAACCCCTCAACTGATAATCATAGAACAGCTGTGCCTTCGACTCTGTAACATTTGGTCGCTGCTGAAAGCAATCATTGATTCATTATTGACCGGACGTCCTGGTCTGACGCGATGAGAGGTCCTCCTTGGCGTGACGGTGGAAATCCCGTTCGAAGTCGGAAAATCCCCCAACTCGACAAACCGACCACCAGAACAGACCCAACAAACGGTCGGTTTCATGGGTTGGCCTTCAAGAACGTTTCGAGTTGGAGTGCGTTGAAAAACTACACCAAACTTCCTCCCCACATTCTTCGAGGGCAAACAAAATCCTGATTTGGTGGGAAAAGTCCACTGGAGGACCGAATCGATGAGGAGGACCACCCCTTAGTGGTTCAGTTTGCCGCCAACCGTGCCGAAGACTTGCTTTCCGCTGCACTGGCCGCCCAAGCGATGGGTGCAGACGGTGGCCTGGCTGTGACAGAAAGGAGACGGATGGGTGGAGGGGACGGATGGATGGGAGGGGGGGAGATGTGGAGGGTTGGCTATTCTATTGCACGAATAACAATCCCATACACTCCATGGGACTGCCTACATTGACGCCCCAAACCACCCCAATGTAGGCATGTATGGCATACATGGAGTGTCTGGGAATAATAACACCTCTCATCTTGAGAATGAACATCCTTTTGGCAGCGAGAAACGTTTCTGTTCACGCACTAGGAGGAAGGCTTATGATACCTTGTTTGTGCATGTTTGTGCGCTTCTTTCTTTCCAACAACGGTGCTCCATTCGCTCACACGGCCCGACGTAGAGTTGTCCCGGGCTCGGCATGCCGCTGGAGACTAGGTATTGACATCAATCTGGGCTGTCCACAACGACGGGCGCGCGAAGGGAACTACGGCGCCTGGCTGGCCAACGAGGAAAAGAATTGGCCATTGATCGGAGAAATGCTCAAGGAGTGTGTTCAGCCCTTGGGCGAAAGAAGAGGTTGGGGATGAAAGATGGCAAAGCCCCACAATCACAACAAATCCTTCGCTTCATTTTTGGTTATTCAACATCATACAGGAATCATACATACACATCAGATGTTTCTCAAAATAAGGGAGTTGGTAGAGGTTGAGATGAAGGGGCAAATGAGGCATGATGACCCATCACAAGATCATTTAATTTGCTGTATGTTCACAATCCAACAGCCGCCAATCTAAAAGTTCAACCAGAAAAAAACAAGGATATCATCTCTTAGCATAACAAGAAGACGCGCTACATCAAACCACACACCAAAAAGCACATCTACCCAGTTTGGCTGCCCTGGCAATCGTCGAGGTGTCCTGCACTCAAGATACCGGTGGTTTGTAAGATCCGGCTGCAGCACACCTTAAGCGCCACCATCAAGTTCGCTCAGCTCTTAGAGGCCGAAGGGTGGGTAGGGGGTGGGTACTGTATGTGGGTCTCAGCCCGACACGAGAAGATGAAGGATGTTTGGGCAAAAAAAACAAACCACAAACCACGAGAAGAACAGGCTCCTTACATCTTCCCTTTCACTTTGGCTTTGTTTCTCCGTTGCCGTGAGCGTCGCTTCAGACACCCGACTCGGTGGTGAACCGGTGAGCCCGGGTTGCTTTGGGGGGGTCCGGAGGATCGGTCGGACCGGTGCACGGTCAGGATCAGCTGGGATGGGGTTGGCATGACAGGTCTCACAGTATAGTCTCACTGTGCCCAGTTGGCTCAAACGAATGGACATCCGGGGGTTTTGGTTGACCGGTTTTGACCCCACCAGTATGATGGGCTATGGCTGCCGTGCCATACTTTTTTCGAACCACATAGCAAAACCTCTTTGCCTCTGAGTCTTCCGTTTTGATCCACGAGTACTGCGACTATCTGCGACGTCGCATGCAGTCACCCATCTCCTCCAGGCCTCCGGATGCGCCCTGCTGACGATCCACGGCCGGAAGCTCAGCGGCGCTCCAAAGCATCGCGACGGCCCGGCGGACTTGGGCGCCATCGCAGCGGTGCGGCAGAGTCTGGGCATCCCCGTGGTGTCCAACGGGAACGTGCGGCGGCCAGAGGAGGTCTGGAGAAATCTTCAATGCACCGGTTGTGAGGCGCTGCGCTGTGGAGGGTCGGAGGGTGGGGGGGTGGTGGATGGTGGGGAATGCGGATGATGTGAATGTGGTGTGGTGGTGGGGAAGCATCACGAAGCAACAATCATGGGATCTGATTTGAATGTGAAACGTTGTGAAACTATTTTTTGTGTGCCAAGTTGTGGCTGAAATCTTCAGTACAAGTACTTGATGTGGTTTTTCTTTTCAGCTCGTGGCCCAAAGCCTTCCAGGGGCCGAGCGGATCTAACTAATTTGGGCGGGGTAGTTTTGCCATGGACGATTTCAATGTGGGTTTCCTGGAGCCGGATCTTGGAAGTCTACATCCTGGACAGCTGGTTGACATCATGGCTAATCTACAGATGTTTTCAGATGGTTCAGTCGTGTGTTCCTCAGTCACTAGGAACCAGGTTTTCATGACGGATGCACCGATTGATTCTTCGAAGACACTGGTCACACTCATTGGCATGAAAGTTTCCTATGAGTCGGGGCTTTGCTGGTTGAGACATCAAATGGACTCAACCATTTTTTATCCATGTCCTCCCAGTGTAGAAGGCCTGAACCACATCCTGGAAGCCTGTTCGGGAATTGGTGCAGTCGGCAAAGGGTTTGAAAGCGCAGGAAGTCAGACATTCTTGTATGTAGACTCCAATCCGAAGTACTGCAATTGGTTGAAAGAAAGAAGACAAGCTACAGTGGTGTGTGGTAACATTGCCAAACGCCAAACACAAGCCGAAGTGATGCAACGCATTCCTGACAGACGCTCTTTCACCATTAGATCTGGAATTGCTTGTCAGCCATTCTCAGCTCTGGGAGATCGTCGAGAGCATCTAGATCAGCGATCAGAAGCCCTGCCAGGAACACTGCAACTGGCTTACCTGACAAGACCAGTAGCGATCATCCTTGAGTGTACAAAGGAAGCTGGTGCTTCCGCCTGGGTTTCGCAAGTCTTAGGCAAGTTTCGAGAGATCACCAATTATAGGACTTTCCAACATGTCATGGATCTTCACCATACATGGCCTGCTCGTAGGACAAGATGGTGGTGTGTTGTGGTGCACCCAGCACTTTTGCTCCACCAAATCCCAGAGGTACCAAGTTTGAGGTTTGATCCAGCAGTCATTCATTTGATCAAGACTATGCTTGAAATGCCTGAAGCTGAAGAGGTTGGCCTAAGTCTTGTCATCCATGAATTGCGTCAATTCGGAAGGGGCCCCAAGGGTTTCGCGCAGCATGTAATGGATACATATGGACCTTTGCCAACAGCCACCCACTCATGGGGTGGTCAATGTGTTCCATGTGCGTGCGGTTGCAGGTCCCAAGGCTTCAGTGAGCAGAGATTAGCTAGTAAAGGGCTTTACGGATTGGTGATCCCAACTGGCAAAATCACAGGTGATGCCAATGAATCCTATGAAGGTTTACGCCATGCTCATCCAGCGGAGGTCGCCATTCTAAATGGCCTTCCTCCAAGTCATTTAGTTCCCATTGATGCAGCAGACATTCGTCTTCAGCTGACAGGTGTGGGACAAATGGCAAGTCCAATCCAGAGCGCATGGGTTCTCGCATCCATTAAGTGGCAGGTCAGTCAATCACATCTCATTGTTGTAGCTGAGCATCCCAGACATGTTCTAGCCGCGTTATGTCGAGAACTGTTGACACAGCGTGATGAGTGGTGGCCTGACCATGACAGCAAGCCCATCCGAATTTTTGCAGCTGAGATTGATAGTTTGGACCGCCCATTGATTTTCCAGCCATGGGACAAAAGTGATTCCGAGGATGACGATCATGCACTTGCGACAAACGCAATTCGAGACAACCCAGAGAAGAAGACCAGACATGCCGTAGGTAAAGGGGGTACTTTTGGAGATCGACATCGTCGTACTGTGCCTGCGGTAGGCGAGACCTGTGAGACGGCTGCGTCTGTGCCTAATGCTTTCGAGAATCCCAAGCCGGAACATGCAATCGTAAGACCAGTGACTCCCATGTCTGACGCTTTTGAGACTTTCGCGACAGACCACAGGACATCGGGACATGAGAAGCTGCCGACATTTACATTCGAGCCGTTAGTGACAGAACGTGAGACTCACAGACCAGAGCGACAAGCTAGTCATGCAGCAGTCCTTTCCGTAGTCAACATTACGGAGAATGGAGGTATTGCGGGTTTCGAATCCAAATCCAAGGTGGGTCAGGTAGCACAGGGTGCAGCCACCCTGGCCTCAGGCCTTTCGATCCCAGTTGTAGAAGTTGATGCGGAGCCACCAATCAAGAAAGCCAGAACCGATGACTGCACAGGCGTTTCTCTCTTGAGTGACTCTGATGTAGAACAGAGCCGGCAACAGGACCACAGACAGAGTGAGCCTGTCAAGATTTGGGTTGCGCACGAAGGGTTTCAGGCTTTTCAACATACATGTGATGCCAATACAACCATCGGGCAATTGACCTATGCTGAAATGGTTTTGTTGCAGTGTGATCACCAGTTCAAACCCTACAACGGCGTAGGCGAGCAGATCCCATTGGCGTCGAAAGTCCAAGATCACCCGTATGTTTTGCTCCAGGTAGGTCCCACCACCCAAGCGGACAGGTGTCCCATGCTGACCATGCAGACACACCAACACGATGCCAGCTTGACACCACGCCTCACGGCACTTTGGCAGCAAAAAGGGTGGGTAGCCAAAGATGAGATGGAATTCTACTTGCAGGCGTTAGCGCAAGATGGAACGACCCGGGTTTCAGAGGTCCTGATGATCACCAGCCCCACTGAAGCTGAGAATGTGGTAAATCTTTGGGTGTCCCAACGACTGGAAGATTTCATGAACGATGATCAATGTTCGCAAGTTTTTACCATTTGTTGGTTCAATCGGCATTGGTTCCCGTTGCAAGTAAAACTTTGCTTGGACTCAGTCACGATCTACACCACTCCTGAAATGGCCAACCATGTCCGACAATGGTTCAGTGTTTCACTTGGCATCACCATTGAAGTCAAGTCGATTGGGGTCTTGTCGCAGTGGCCAGCAGATTGTGGTTTTCAAGCAGTCGCATGGATTATTGCCAGAGCATCCAATGAAGGTTCGGTCCGATCCATGCCCTCAGTCGAAGCAATTCAGTGGCGTGAACTTTTTGCGAGACATGTCCTCAACAATGATCTCAACACAGATGTGTTCCCTGACCTGTGGTTGGCAGGAATGGCAAGTGATGGTAGCATCAAAAAGCAGTTTAATCACTGATCGCAGTGCAGCATGTGCCGCTCATTTGATCGATAAACTTGGCATCAAAGCTATCCAGCAGACTTTCCAGGCGACCAAGCCCTGGCAAGACCTGAAAGCACGCGCTTCGCAAGCAAGTCCAGCCATTCAGATAGTCCTAAGTTCGGAACAACAGGCATTGATTGATCGTCGGATTGCAGCCGGCCGTCCGATTGGTAGGAAAAGCAATAAGCAGAAGCAGACGCCTGCCAACCAACCAGTGCTCCTAGATCTGTCCCAGGTCCAGATCCCTTCGTCGGTTTTTCAGCAAGAAGATGGAGTCCACCTTGACCAGATTCAACTCCATCAGATCAACGCAAATGGACAAGGTATCATAGTAGCATCAGTTGATGAAGCCCTGCCGTATGTCACCCGGGGAGATGCTATCAGCTCAGAAGGCCTTGCCATTCTGGTCATTAATTATGCCGATTCGAGGTTGCCCAATCACGCACAGCCGATTAAATTCCCAGCTGTGTGTGCCAGTTCAGGTGAATCCATGCTGGTTTCGGCCGCAATGTACCAGATTGGAGCCAAACGTGTACAAAGACAACTTCCACAACAGTGCAACAAGATTGACCAAGTTGAAACAACCGTCTTGAGGATTGCTTTGTATCGAGATCAGACCAAATGTGTGTGGACTGACATTGCCAAGAGCCCAGTGAAACTGATTTTGGCATCCGATGGTCTGGCACCATTCGGCCGAGAAGTCTTGGATGTTTGGGAAAGCCAATACCTGAGCAAACGTTTTGTCCGCACAAAGCCAAACGAAGCTGAGGTCTTTTTGGTTACCATTAGGATCCCCTCCACGCACGCCAACGAAGTCTTGAATCTGAATGCTGTTGATGGTTTGTACATCGAACCCAGAACAGATAATGGTCGCCAGCCACACCCAGGTTTTGCCATGACGTGGCTTCCAAAGAAGAGCTTTGCAGATGTACAGATTGCGCAGCAAACCAGTGTCAACCATTCATGGGTAGCCCGCTCAGGCGACCGGTTTGGCCTCAGGTCAGAAGTGCAGTTTGCTCAAGCCATCCATGAACAGTTCCGACCGGAGATTGAATACCTCGCTGGAGCCCAGTTGAAAACGTTTCGTGTAGGACCGGTGCCTTTCGGCACGACCAAGCATGCTCTTGCCAAAACATTCAAATCATGGAATTGGCAAGGACAATCCAAAGACCATACCGCCGTGTTTTGGTCTGCAGTCTCCAATGATGATCCGTCCCATACCATCTTCACCATGGAGCATGGTGATGTCCTCATATCGTCTGTTCCCAATGCCAGAGATCGTCAGAACACCAACAATCCGAGCATTGAGGCCTCTAAGAGAACTGTGATGATGATGACCCGTGGCTCCACACAGAAGCCAGCAGCCATGTCAAATGATTCTGACCCTTGGTTGACGTATGATCCGTGGATGGAAAGGAAGCCAGTCACCACCTCAGCGATGTTGTCGCAACAGCAGCTCTCTGCACTCGAGGCCAAGGTCGAGCAGAAGGTCATGTCCAGTGTCATTGCCAAGGTTCCAATTCCATGCCATGATGAAGATGCAGACATGGGCACTCAGCATGATACCCGAGTCGCTGAACTCGAACAGAAGGTTCAGTCATTGCAGGAAAATGTGAACGCCCTGTCCTCCAATTTGAGCACCTTTCAACAGCAGCAGACTCAGCAAAACAACAGTGTCGTAGGCCAGATTCAGGCATTGCAAACCTCCGTAGAGAACCAGCATCAACACATGACAAAGGTGTTAGATGCGAAAATGGA